ATTCATCACATGTTTCACATTTTTGTCATTATTAAGTCTTTATTTAGATGAAATCTGCCATCTGGTCCGACCTTCATCAGCGCACAGCTCTGGTTCTCCAGCGTGATTGGACCTGGGCCCAGGCTGCGTCTGAGGTGCTCACTGATGCAGGACCTTCTGCGAGGACAGCAGCTTCTGAACTAAGATATTATAATCCAAGCCGTTTGCTTCATTGCAAACTTTAGGATCATCAAGTGTTAATAGTTCTTTGGTGTGCCCCCGCCTCTGTTTAGTCTTTTAGACACACATTCATTCCAGCTGCTGCTGTGACTGAATTATCTTTCCTTCATTCTGTCAAAGGCAAACCGGTCGTTCAGATTGTTGGTCAACATGAAGGCTGCTGATTATTTAGTCTAGAACATCCTGATAAAGTCCGATCCACTGAGACTAGAGATCCACCGATGTGGGGTTCTCTAATGCCAATACCGATGCTGATATGTAGAGGTCGTGGGATGTGCTGCTGAGTCTTTAGGCCCATTTTCATAGATGTTTGCTACCTTATTTTCATGCTAAAAGGTCACTAATAACAGCTTTTCTGGACCTGATCAGCTTTCGAACTCTGAGCTCGACCAACTCTTGAATCTCAGTTTTGTAAACAGCAAAGTTTTAGAATAAAACATTTAACCAAAGTCAATCAAACAAATCGCTACACTGACCAAGTATTTAGTATAAAATAGGTGCATACGACATTTTAGCTGATCTTTTAAAGCATTTAATAGAAGGGCCACCATACTGGAAAGGCCTGGAGCGGTCATTTTGACTGCTACATTTAAATGTCTTTGTAAGTTTATGAAACCATTGTTTTAAATGATAGTAGTACATTTACTAGCTAAAAATAGTTCTTTTCAATCAGAAAAACTCAAATAGACTCATAACTTTGCGTGTTATCGGCCTTCCTAACACCATTTCTACAGAAATATCTCCTTTATGGATCTCTGCCATTTTCCCTCTTCCTTTGTGTTTATTATAAAATACAAAACTAACAAAATTACAAGAAAGAGAAAGACTGACTCATAAGCCAATGACACAATGTGGAACAAAACATGAATGTGCCAGTCAGATCACCTGTAAAATGTTCTGAACCAAAGGTGAATAAAATGGGACTCCTGTGGACCACCGACAGTGGAGGTCCGGAGGCAGGGCTGTGGGCAAAGGTTCACCAACCTCTAACCAGAGCTCTCCCTCCTTTTCATCAATGAAAGCATCAATGCGCCTCAGAAAGTCCATGCCAAGGGTGAAAGCCATCCTTGCATGGTCGGAGATGTACACGGGGTGTGTCAGAGTCATGGGCCCGACCGATATTTGGAGATCGAACCTAGTAGACAAGATTAAGTCATGAGAGGAAGTCCTGTCAGTTACAGAACATGGAACAAGTTCTGGGGGGCTGACCCCCCCCCGGGGCTGACCCCCCCCCCCCCCCCCCCCCCCCCACACACACACACACACACACACACAGGAAATGCAGGTGCGATCAAACATGGCTCGGGTTACCATTGTAAAGTTCGAACCTGTGTCAAGAAGTGTGTCGCAGAATAGATTCTGGGTCAGCTTGACCGACACCAGAGATTTACCAGCTTCCTCCTGGGGCACTAGGTGTCCCGAGAACTTGATGGGACACTCGACGACGGGGTGGACCGATAAGTCGTCTGGAGTGGATGACACGGTCCCGAGTGTAGCAGGAACAGGTTCTGTTACCTGATGGAGAGACTTCTCTGTTTGCCGGATTTGGATTTCTGGAAGCAGATCAATATCAGAGAGCTTCACATCTGGTATAACATCACCGTGCTGAGAAATTATGTCAGGCTTGTTAGTCAGGGATGAGAGTGTTTGCTTTAAGTCAGAGCCAAGTAAAACATCAGAATATTTCGATTCTTGTTTATCTGGCGGTAGGTCTGCAGAGCATGGAGTCATCACCCGTTTCCTCTGTAGACCGTTTGTTCTAACCTGGATGTCTCTTACTTCCTGTTCTAACCTGGATGTCTGTTACTTCCTGTTCTAACCTGGATGTCTGTTACTTCCTGTTCTAACCTGGATGTTTCTTACTTCCTGTTCTAACCTGGATGTCTGTTACTTCCTGTTCTAACCTGGATGTCTGTTACTTCCTGTTCTAACCTGGATGTCTCTTACTTCCTGTTCTAACCTGGATGTCTGTTACTTCCTGTTCTAACCTGGATGTCTCTTACTTCCTGTTCTAACCTGGATGTCTGTTACTTCCTGTTCTAACCTGGATGTCTGTTACTTCCTGTTCTAACCTGGATGTCTGTTACTTCCTGTTCTAACCTGGATGTCTCTTACTTCCTGTTCTAACCTGGATGTCTGTCACTTCCTGTTCTAACCTGGATGTCTCTTACTTCCTGTTCTAACCTGGATGTCTGTTACTTCCTGTTCTAACCTGGATGTCTCTTACTTCCTGTTCTAACCTGGACGTCTCTTACTTCCTGTTCTAACCTGGATGTCTCTTACTTCCTGTTCTAACCTGGATGTCTGTTACTTCCTGTTCTAACCTGGATGTCTGTTACTTCCTGTTCTAACCTGGATGTCTCTTACTTCCTGCTCTAACCTGGATGTCTGTTACTTCCTGTTCTAACCTGGATGTCTGTTACTTCCTGTTCTAACCTGGATGTCTGTTACTTCCTGTTCTAACCTGGATGTCTGTTACTTCCTGTTCTAACCTGGATGTCTCTTACTTCCTGTTCTAACCTGGATGTCTGTTACTTCCTGTTCTAACCTGGATGTCTCTTACTTCCTGTTCTAACCTGGATGTCTGTTACTTCCTGTTCTAACCTGGATGTCTGTTACTTCCTGTTCTAACCTGGATGTCTCTTACTTCCTGTTCTAACCTGGATGTCTGTCACTTCCTGTTCTAACCTGGATGTCTCTTACTTCCTGTTCTAACCTGGATGTCTGTTACTTCCTGTTCTAACCTGGATGTCTCTTACTTCCTGTTCTAACCTGGACGTCTCTTACTTCCTGTTCTAACCTGGATGTCTCTTACTTCCTGTTCTAACCTGGATGTCTGTTACTTCCTGTTCTAACCTGGATGTCTGTTACTTCCTGTTCTAACCTGGATGTCTGTTACTTCCTGTTCTAACCTGGATGTCTCTTACTTCCTGTTCTAACCTGGATGTATGTTACTTCCTGTTCTAACCTGGATGTCTCTTACTTCCTGTTCTAACCTGGATGTCTGTTACTTCCTGTTCTAACCTGGATGTCTCTTACTTCCTGTTCTAACCTGGATGTCTGTTACTTCCTGTTCTAACCTGGATGTCTGTTACTTCCTGTTCTAACCTGGATGTCTCTTACTTCCTGTTCTAACCTGGATGTCTCTTACTTCCTGTTCTAACCTGGATGTCTCTTACTTCCTGTTCTAACCTGGATGTCTGTTACTTCCTGTTCTAACCTGGACGTCTGTTACTTCCTGTTCTAACCTGGATGTCTCTTACTTCCTGTTCTAACCTGGATGTCTGTTACTTCCTGACGCATTTTGGAGAGTTGAGTAGAGATGTCGTTCATCTCAGCAGTCTGCATTTGAGACTGGGTTCTAACTTCCAGAATATTGTTTCTCATCTGTAGGATCTGGTTCTCGACCGGAAAAGGGTGGCTTGCCAGCTCCGGGTCGGGGGAGAGGTCCTACCTCAAGTGGAGGAGTTTAAGTATCTCGGGGTCTTGTTCACGAGTGAGGGTAGGAGGGATCGGGAGATCGACAGGCGGATTGGTTCGGCGTCTGCAGTGATGCGGACGCTGAGCCGATCTGTCGTGGGGAAGAGGGAGCTGAGCCAGAAAGCCAGGCTCTCGATTTACCGGTCGATCTACGTCCCAATCCTCACCTATGGTCATGAGCTTTGGGTAATGACCGAAAGAACGAGATTGCGGACACAAGCGGCCGAAATGAGTTTCCTCCATAGGGTGGCCGGGCTCAGCCTTAGAGATAGGGTGAGGAGCTCGGACATTCGGGAGGGACTCGGAGTAGAACCGCTGCTCCTCCGGATCGAAAGGAGTCAGTTGAGGTGGTTTGGGCATCTGGTCAGGATGCCTCCTGGACGCCTCCCCGGGGAGGTGTTTCGGGCATGTCCTGCCGGCAGAAGGCCCCCGGGTCGACCCAGGACACGTTGGAGAGGTTACATCTCCAATCTGGTCCGGGAACGTCTTGGGGTCCTGCCGGAGGAGCTGGTGGACAAGGCCGGGGAGAGGACGGCCTGGAGCTCCCTAATTGGGATGCTGCCCCCGCGACCCGGACCCGGATAAGCGGAGGAAGACGAAGACGAAGATCTGTAGGATGAGGGCTGTTAATTGCTTAATTTCCTCTGAGCTCATTTTAAAAACGATGTACAGGTCCCTTAATTTATTATAAAATTAATGGAAGCTGAATTCAGTTGTTAGTAAATGAGCTTTGTTACAGGAGAAATTTTAACTCCCTCTGTTTTAGTCGGTCCCTTGCCTCTATCAGTCCATCTCTGTTGACTATAATCAACAGCTCACTGAGCCAAGGCTGTGTTCCATCTTACTTTAAAAATGCAGTAGTGACTCCTCTCTTAAAGAAACCCAACCTTGATGCCAGCTCCACCAGTAACTTTAGGCCCATTTCTAAGCTGCCTTTCATCAGCAAAGTACTTGAGAAGGTTGTTGAAACCCAACTCAGATCCTGGTTTTCTAAGTCAAAGATCTCTGACCCCTTCCAGTCTGGCTTTCTGAAGCAGCACTCAACTGAGACTGCTCTAGTAAGGGTGCATAATGACCTCCTGATGGCTGCTGATGCAGGGAAATGCTCTGTCATGGTCCTGCTCGACCTCAGTGCAGCTTTTGACACTGTAGACCACAACGTTCTACTAAACAGGTTAAAGGCCCTGGCTGGGATTTCAGGTTCTGCTCTAGACTGGCTCTCTTCCTATCTCACTAACAGAACATTCACAGTGAAGTCTGAAACCTTCACTTCAGATACTGCCTCTCTAACATGCGGGGTTCCACAAGGTTCAGTTCTAGGGCCTCTACTATTCGCATTCTATATTCTTCCCCTAGCCGGCATCATTCAGTCTTTCCCAGACATCTCCTACCACATCTACGCTGATGATATTCAGCTCTATATGTCCTTTATGCCACACCAGTTGGACAGGCTGGCCACACTTGTACTCTGCCTGACCCAGATCAGTAACTGGCTGTCCAGCAACTTTCTTGTCCTCAATGCTAACAAGACAGAGACCCTGATCGCTGCACCCCCGGAACTTCAGCCAAAAATCGAGCAGGAAATTGCCTCTTTTTGCTTATCAGCCAAGGCCACCATTAGAAACCTGGGAGTTATTTTTGATCCAGCTTTAAGTTTAGACTCACACGTCAAAACCATCTCCCGCTCTTGTTTCTTTCAACTGAGAAACATTTCAAAAGTCCGTAAACTGGTTTCTACTGCACATCTGGAAAAAATCATCCATGCCTTTGTGTCATCACGCTTAGACTACTGTAACGCTCTTTTTACTGGTCTCATCAAAACCTCCCTCTCACGCCTTCAAGCCATCCAAAATGCAGCAGCCAGACTCCTAACCAAATCCAGCAGACGAGCTCACATCACTCCAGGTTTACAGTCCCTCCACTGGCTCCCGGTAGAATATAGAATACAGTTTAAAGTTTTAGTCCTGACCTATAGAGCTCTTAACAACCAGGCTCCAAGCTACCTATCTGAGCTTTTATCCCCACACACCACCTCTCGGAACCTTAGATCCACATCTGAAAACCTCCTGGCTGTTCCTCGAACCAGACTGAAAACCAAAGGGGACAGGGCCTTTCAGACTATTGCACCCAGACTTTGGAACAGTCTACCTTCAAATCTCCGTCTCTCTAACACTGTAGAGGTCTTTAAAAATCATCTAAAAACTCACCTTTTCATCCAGGCGTTCCCTCCCTAAATGTTCTAAAAGATGTCTTTGTTCGGGTTCACACCTTCACTTTGTTTTTACTCATGATTTAATTTACTATTTTATCACTGCTATTGTTTTCTGATGTTTTATTGGTTAGAGGTATTTGCCCTGATCTTTATCATGTTGTACAGCGCTTTGTGATTTATATCTGTGAAAGGCGCTATATAAATAAACTTTTACTTACTTACTTACTTACATTGATAATGCACTAGAAACCTTATTTTGAGAGATAAGCTTATTAGTGAAAACACAGAAAAGAAAAGAACTTTATTGAGCCGGGTGTTAAAACCGCCACAAGGTGGCAGCAGCGAGCGGCTAAGGAAATGTGGTTATTGGGGGTGAGGCCCGATGCTTCGCTCCTCTTCAACCAGATTCCTAGACGAGCTAAGCTATTGAAGCTAAACTCTTGAAGCTAAGCTATTGAAGCCTAACCCTAACCCTAAAACACGGTGGTTTTAAGACCAAATATTTACCCAAAGGGTTAAGCGGGGACGTGTGGACGACGGTGACCTTGATCGCTCGGTTTCTACCGCAGCGTCAACCTATCCCCTACGACAACGTCACTATATTTTTAGCTTCGTTGGCGGCCACGAGTTGAACACACTCAGGACTTTTTTAGGTATTCCCCATCAATATGGGGATTCCTCTTCAGCGGCGACGCATGCCGTGCACTGGCAGATGTTGACTTAAGCCGGATAAGCTGTTTTTCGCAGTGTTCAGACGCGAAAGCTTCTTTCTGCCATCTTGCCTAAAATGTTACTTCTTTGTTCATTTTAAACCAAGCAGATGCGCGCAGGAGGGTGTGACGAGTTTTGCACACAACCACTCTATCAGACTATGTCCGGTGATCCCGAAAGCTTAAGATAAGTGCTTTTAAGCTGTATTTCGGAAAAGGGGGTGCTATTCTTGCCGTGGTAAGGCTGACTAGCTACTAGCTTTGCTAGCATGATGAGAGAGAATAAAATCTCTCTCAGGAGACACTACGTGTCAACCAAGATGGTGAATAAACGTTCAAACACGCAAGCAAACAACACATTCACTTACTTTAGCAATTAGGATGTCTTTAAACAGTCCCACAGACCTGTGGATTAATGGCTGTGTAAACGCTGAGTCAGCGAACTGCTGGATGTTTATGCCGGAGTCGGTGTTACTGTAAAAAGCTTCCCACCCGGAAGTTTCTGGTGGAAGAAAATTAAGGTGACACAACTCCTGTTTTTAGTAAAATATTGAAAATAAAACACAGAAATAGCGTGTTTAATTATGAAAAGAACTGGCTCGCCCAGTTATTGAATAAGACTGGCTGGCTACGCCAATTATGTAGCGTATTTCTACATACTAGAATCAACACTGTTTGCTATCTGATAATGATCAAGCACATTAGCATATGAAGCTTATATCATGTATAACTATCCAGGATACTTATATAATCGATAGAAGTTCATACACCGACCTGCTTGGTCTGTATTTAATCCAAAGATTAATGTTTAATTTAAGATAATTAAATTTAAGAGCAAAAGTTTATTTATTTAATCAGAAGTTAGGAATCTTTGCTTTTTCAATTACCAGAAATATGTACACCATTCTGTTTCATTTCAAAGATAAGGCAAAGTTTAAAAATGAAGAATTTATTACTAACAATTTGAAACAACAATTCAGAAACGACCATTTAAATGACAATTCATGGATGACAATTTACCAGCTTTGATAATCAACTTGGTATCAAAAACTTTACCTGTGTCTGGATGGAAAGCTAAATTGAAATGAGAGCTTGGATGCGTGAATGAATTCTCAGAAGCTTTCTGTCAGAGAGAGGAACTCATTCTGGGTGAAATGACAGTTTTGCAGCTAACTCGGTTGTCATTTAGAGAAACAGCATCAAACACAATCTGTGTGCTACCTCCCCCAGCAAGACGACCCTCTGTGTGGATCTGGAGATCAAGGAGGATGTTGTCAACCTCAGGGTACTCGGTCTGGTAGAGAAGACGCGAGTGAAACCGATCCTCTGGTCCAGAGATGTCGCAGGGTACACAGTGTCAAGCGTTTGGCTTAACTCTGAACGAGTTTTGCATCTTACTTAACTCAAAATCAATAACTCTGAAGGAGTTTTGCGTCAGCTGGTTATCGTGCATTTATTCAAAGCTATTCTATCAGCGTGACAGAACAGCAGGTGGAGGGTCAGGGCGGCTGTTCCCCTGTCCTCAGGATGGTGGTTGGTTCACAAACAGAAGTTTTGCTGCTGGAAATTTAGTTTTAACAAACCCCTCAGAACACGCCCACTCTCAGCAAGAAAGCTCTGGTCATGAGTCAAAGACATGTGATGATGTTTACTTTTACCCTGTGGTACCCTCTGTGTGAGGCTGGTTATGTGCGAGGTGACCTTCTGGTTTACTGAACACACATTACTGATTATCGTGAATAATAATTATTAAACCCAAAGAATAATAAGTCATTTCAGTCATTAAAATACATTTATACTGAACCAAGAGATTATGTATGATGATTATAATAACAGTAATAAAGTCAAAGAGTTTATTACAATTATTATTTAAATTATTATTGTGATCTTGAAGTGTCCTTCAGTCTGGGACAGAACAGCAGCAGATAAAGATGATATTCAGCAGACACCCCGGCTCCTCGCTTGTTTAATCTGTGGGGCAAAGTTGCAGTCGACCCAGCTGACCCAGCTGGGAAAATGTGACCTTTGTCACAAATTAGAGGCCCTTCGTGACGCTACACGTTTGAGCATCCCTTCAGAGAGCTGGAGCTCTGGTGGCTGTTCTGGAGCAGACTCCATAGCAGTCCGTTAGTAAATGTTGTTTTTGTCCCTGGACAGGTGTTCCCTCTGCTCCTGGCCAGGTTGTTGCCACCAGAAACACCAAGTCCTCCGTGTTTGTGCAGTGGGAATCTCCCAAACATCAGAACAGTCTGATGGGATACTACATCGACGGACGTGCTGTTGGATCCAAGGACTGGTTTGCTTGTAACCACAAACCCTTCAAACACAACCGGTGAGAATTTTCACGTCACCCTTTCACCAACCTTGTTGCTCTTCAGCCATCAGCTGATGACAGATGATGATTGAGATGAGTATGCAGATGAAACTTGACACTGGCTTTGGTATCAGCTCTTCAGACAGAACCACAATGAGGGCGAACATTAGTGCGTTATTAGGCATGACTGACGCTGGACACGACCAACCAGGTGCGTGGTGGTGCGCCGCATGACAACTGCTGCGTGTGTTTCAGGTTTGTGGTCCACGGCCTGATTCCAGGGGAGAGCTACGTGTTCCGTGTCCAAGCCGCCAACGTCTTTGGCCTCAGCGAAGAGTCTCAGGAGTCCTCCCCCGTCTCCGTGGAGCCCGCCCTCGGTAACTGTTGATCTCACATTAAAAAGATTTCAGTGAGAAAAACTGAAAACCTTTTCTGACCAACTTGATGAATTATGAAGTGAAATAAATTGATGGGAGGTGGTCTGTGTTGGCGAATAAATGATTTGGTTATTCTGCCCAGGCAGGGGAGTGGGACATGGTATGTATTAAAGGTGTGCTCCTTCACTCTCCGCCCTAACACACACACACACACACACCTGTGTGTTCAGCACCACTCGGAACGTTTCACCTTAGGGCCTGTACTAAAACTAGTTCTTTGTCTGAAGTGCACGGGAGACACAGTGTGCCACCGAGGCCGTGTTCATGTGTTCATGTGAAGGACATGTGTAGATCATGACTCCTGAACCTTTCAGCCACCCCCAGCGCGCCCCACGGCATCACCATGCTGAGCTCCGACGGCTCCACCATCACCCTGGCCTGGAGGAGTCCCCGGCACTGTGGCGGCTCCAGAGTCAACGCCTACTACATCGACAAGCGAGACGCGGACACTCTGGTGTGGAAGGAGGTCAACCTGTCTGCTGTCACAGAGAGAATCTGCCAGGTGACTTCTCGCTCAGGTGGAGCATTCGCTCACGTTCAGGTCTCCGTTCCACCTGAAACGTAAACTGTGTTCGTATTTTCAGGTGGACAACCTAACGGAGGGAACCTTTTATGAGTTCAGGATTCAGGCAGGGAACCTAGCTGGTGTTGGAGTCCCTTCAGCTCCCAGCAGCCCTATGAAATGTGAAGCCTGGACCTTTCCAGAGCCAGGTCCGTTCACTCTCCTTCATCCATCGCATACAGACTCTCGTACTTTATGAGAATATCTGAAAGCCGTGGAGCTCTGAAAAGCCAGTTTTAATGATTGTTTCTGATTCTGACGGGTCACTCTGAGTGTTTCATGCAGGCTGAACATAAAATAGTCTCCTACACCTATCTCCTGCAGTAGCTTCTGATAGAAAATAGTCTCCTACACCTACCTCCTGCAGTAGCATCTGATAGAAAATAGTCTCCTACACCTACCTCCTGCAGTAGCATCTGATAGAAAATAGTCTCCTACACCTACCTCCTGCAGTAGCTTCTGATAGAAAATAGTCTCCTACACCTACCTCCTGCAGTAGCTTCTGATAGAAAATAGTCTCCTACACCTACCTCCTGCAGTAGCCTCTGATAGAAAATAGTCTCCTACACCTACCTCCTGCAGTAGCTTCTGATAGAAAATAGTCTCCTACACCTATCTCCTGCAGTAGCTTCTGATAGAAAATAGTCTCCTACACCTACCTCCTGCAGTAGCTTCTGATAGAAAATAGTCTCCTACACCTACCTCCTGCTGTAGCTTCTGATAGAAAATAGTCTCCTACACCTACCTCCTGCAGTAGCTTCTGATAGAAAATAGTCTCCTACACCTACCTCCTGCAGTAGCTTCTGATAGAAAACAGACGGTGGTATCTGAGGTTTAAGGGGGTACCGTGTTATCTCTAAACAGAGAATAAGGGAAGTGGTTTAATCCAGCCGCAGCTGACGCTGAAGACTTTCTTCTCAGGTGATTATCTGTTGTTCTTCTAGGCCCAGCCTACGACCTCAGCTTCAGGGAGGTCAGAGGTGACTCTCTGGTCCTTTTATGGAAGGCTCCGGTGTATTGTGGATCCAGTGCCATCTCTGGATACTTTGTGGACATGGCGAAGCAGGGCTCTTCTGAGTTTGTTACGCTCAATAAGGAGGCAGTGAGCCATCGATACTTGCAGGTAGGAGTCCTGGCGCACCGTCAGGATGTCCTCTAACCCGCTCCCACATCCTGTGCCATGCTGCATTCCCATGTTTTGCTGCAGGTGGCTGAGCTGGAGGAAGGAACCAGTTACGTCTTCAGGGTTCGTGCTGTCAATGCGAACGGAACCGGAAAACCTTCCCAGCTGTCAGAACCGGTGTGTGCCAGAGCTGTTCCAGGTAAGGCCCGCTAGTTCTGATGGTGAATGATACTGTCCCCGACATTCCTGGGGCTGTTTTAGGTAAATGATCAAATCAAATCAAACTTTATTTATAAAGCACTGTTCATGCAACACAAAGTGCTTAACAGATTAAAATGACCCCCATAACCCACTTTCCCTCCCTTTCCCACACTTAAAACTACTGTTACGGTTTCACCCCCAATCTACAAACCATTCCCAGGCACACACACACACACACACACACACACACACACACATGCACGCACGCACACACACACACGCACACACATGCACACACACACACACACATGCACGCACGCACACACACACACACACGCACACACACCACTGTAGCACCTACATCATCGTACCTGAATCCTGCCATGTGACCCGGCCTCGGTGGAACTGAGACCCAGCATGAACACGTCACGCAGCCACCGAGCGAACGCCACTGTCCTTCTGTCCTAATGAATCCCTACTGGATGTGACCGGTTCCAGAGGACCAAACCCTGAATGTCACCTGCACACCTTCAGCAGCAGATTTGTGTCTTCATCAGGAAGAAACAAGTTGATATGAAGACGCCAGCTGCAGACCCTGGTTCTAGCAAACCTAGTGCTCGGTGTTTTATCACAGTCTGAAGCAGTGATGTGAGGCTGTGTCAGGCAGATCACAGCTTTGATTGTGTCTTTGGGGCTTTTTTTCACATGAACAGGCACTAAGGAGATTGTAGCTGGTGTGGACGAAGCCACCGGAGATGTTTTCCTGTCTTTTGAAGCCTCTGAGATCTGTGAGACGTCCGTGTTTGAGTGGTCAAAGAACTACAAAGCCATCGGAGACTGCCCCAGGCTTGCGGTCTCCACAAAGGGCAGAACGTAAGCCTCCTCACTCCAACGCCACGCCGCTTTTATGGTCCAACTTACATTTTGCAGCTTCTTCTGTCACCATAGCAACAGCAGCCATCTTTAAATAGACTCCTCATCTCTCAGGGACTCTGTCGACACAGCCAGATGTGTTTATTTTTAAGCACTCGTGAACATCAACAAGTAAATGTCATCTAATGTTCTGGCATCTTCTAAAGGTTAATGGTTATTTGTGACAGAACTGGGTCGTCTCCTGTCTCCTGCAGGAGCTTCAGATAAAAAATAGACGGATTAGAAAAGCCTGACAGATCTACGTGGCACTGACCTCTTTCAGAAACAACGCAGTCCACGACGCCGTGGCGGCATCAGCGAGCCTTAGCT